GAAAAATTTTTGGGTGTAAAATTAGTGTGCGTGTGAAAATTTATATATATAAAAGCAAAATTCATTGAAAAATATTCGAGCCAACGAAACGCAGAATTTCAGAAAATCAATGTGCAGCCCAAGTGGAAGAAAATGTGCAAACACTTAGAAAAAACATAGAGTGAGTGCTGTGCAAAGGAAGAGAATTGGAAATTGGAAAATTTTGCTTAGGCAGTAGTGCGAAAAGTGGGTGTACATACAAACATATGTGCATGTAGAAATTTCTGCCCCAAAGCACCAGTACGAGGAGCATAAAAATCGAAGCAGTGGAAGCTGAAGCTGTAACTGAGCCTGAGTAAGCGGCAAGGCAGGCGGTACGCAGGCGGGCGGCTAGTCAGCAGCGTTTACTGCCGGCAGCAGCACTCGTCAACTGAATAGCAAAAACGCACACGGCTGCAATCACTAATTCGTGCGAGTGTATGCAAACTTTGCGATTTATCCCACCTACGCGTTGGATTTGCAGATTTGTTTATCAAAACGTTTAAGGAGAGTGCGTAATAGCCGATGAAACAAATCGCCTGAGGAATCACAAATGGTTAGTTTTTTTTTAAAGAAGCAATTAAATATTATTTTTGGTAAAAAATTCACTAAGCTCAGTGAGCAAAAGTATGCTAGAAGATGCTGGGCAAACTTTGTGATACGCCCAATCTCCAATACACTAAAGCGTAAAGCAAATTTGCAGGAGAATTCGAGCGAACCGCTTGAATTGGATTTTGAATTTTCCACTGTAGCCTTTTCAACTTTAGCAAAGTGTGTTGAAGCGTATTGACTTTAAGGCTGCAGGCATTCCGAGAAATTTAAGCTTAAGCTCCAAAGCCGACATCATAAAAGCAATGCTGTTGGGAGAGTGTGTTGCGAAAAAGTAGCCTTAAGACAAGTAATAAAATTTTTAGCAGGAAAAAATGTTCAGCAAAAGCGCGAAAAATCACGGCTGAACGAAATCAATAACCGAAAAAGCAATAAAAAGTGAAAAGGCAAGCGGTTCAACGTCCAGCTAGCGGGAGGAAACTAAGCAAAAAGCTGAGCCAAAAAAAAGGCATTTAACTTCCCACAGTAACACCGGACAGCTGACGAATAAAAAAGGCTTTAAAAGCCAAAGCGTCCTTCTCCTCCGCGGCATTTATTTTGGTATGGTCGAGGCGGTCAATGGGAAAAACGGTTTCAATGCGTAAAGTTGAAACAAAAAAGTTCGCCAAAAGTCTGTAACTGACGCAAAGCGGATATAAAAATGTTGCAAAAAATAGCCAGAGAAAAAAGGAAAAACAACAATCGTTGAAGCCAATACACCCGCTTATCCTTACTCGATGTCTGCTAGCATTTTAAGTAAATTTTATTACCATCACCCAAAGGGCAATCGCCCGAGGGTCGTCCGGAAGGAAGCAGTGGTGGAGAATAAATGGATGGCAGAAATGAAAAATGCAAATTTGGAAAAATAAGTGATTTTAAAGTTATTGGAGCCGAAACGAAATTCTGGCAGAGCAAATTTTATTTAATGGCAAAATATTTTAGATATTTCGAAGAAACTTAATTCACAAAAAAAAACATCATTGAAAAATTAAAAATTTAAATATTTTGGAAACACTAGGAAAATACAATAAAAAGCACTTTATGAAAGCTTATGAAATTGAAGAATATGGAAAAATGTTGATACCAAGTTTTTCAAATTGCAAAAAACTGCATTTGTTTAATAAAGAAGTATTAAATGTATAGTATGAAAATTCGATATTGAAAATTCAAAAAATTAATTAAAAGTAAATTTATTTTAAAAATTTTTTAATTAAACCCCTAAAAGGCAAAAAAATTACACAAAGATATCATTCTAAAATATTAAAAAATATACAAAGCGTAAAAAAGTTAAATTTAAATCAAAGCTTCTGGGCTTCAAACCACTAACTTAAAATTTAAAAATCTATCTATCTATTGTTCTTCAAATTAAATTTAATAATTAATTATAACACGTATTTCAAGAAATTCAAAATTAATAATTATAGTTTGAATAGAGTTAGGGAAATTTCGTAAAACTTTGCAAATCTCAACTAGTTTGAAATCCATAAAAACTTTCGATAAAAATATATTTAAATTTCTGCAAAAGCTAAACAAGTTAAAATTTGAAGTCCGAACAAAAATTCTAAAAAAATATTAAAACTCCAGTGAAAAATATTAAATATTTCAGACTTTTTAAAATTTCAAACATTTTCAAGCCTCAAAAAATAGACAAAAGATAGTTAGCAGAAGACAATTTAGAGCCAATACTAAATAAATCAATCATTTTTAAATATTTCAAGGACTTAAATTTTTCTATAAGTTAAAAAATTAACTTTAATTTTCGAAAATATTAAAATAAGTTAACACAAAAATTAAGACTAATGGTTTTTGAAGATTCAGAAAGTTTTCAGTAAAAATTATATAAATTATTGGAAACTTCAAGGTCAGTTAAAATTGTGTAGCATTCGATAATATGCTGAAAAAATTTGATTTTGAGACCGAACAGATGTCATGTTACTTCATCAGTTATTCAAAACCAAAAAAAAAATAATATAAGTATGAAAAATAAATAACAATAAATTCTTAAGCAAAAAAAAAACAAAACCGACTTCAATTCTCATATAAAAATTTAAGATTACCGTTAAATTTTTTATGATACAATGAATAAACCAAATTAGTATGGGACCTCCTCTGAGGTACCAGCTTTCCTCTATAAATTTTTCAATATAGAAATCGGTTAACGTGGTCCAAAGTTATGCTGTAACATACATTAAAAAAATATTTCAGAGAATTGATAACCTCTTTTTTCTAAGTCGGTTAAAAAAAAAATAAAAAATGGAAGAAAAAATTTCAAGTAACCACAATTTTTTTTTTATCCTGAAGCATTCAAAAATTTTGAGAAGGATGAAGCATTTTATAAAAATTTGACTTTTCCCAGTTCGTTTTACAATTGAAAAATTTTCAAAGCTTTTTATAAAGCTATTTATAGCTTTTTTTTTACTATTTATAAAAGTATTGTAAAATAATAAATTTATACACGCTACATAATATGTAACAATGTGCAGAATAATATTTTCAGAAAAACAATTAATTGGGTTCGAAACTGATTTAATGTAATAATCCGCGAAATAAGAATGAAAATAAATAATTTCCGACACTCAGAAACGCGAATACCGGCATATTTTCAAACTACTGTGATGTTTCACGGCACAAATTCAACGAATAAGAGCAATTCTATAAAGTAAAATAAAATTGTCTTCAGTTGTGCTAAAATTGTAAAATAAAGTATCACAAAATTTGCACAAATCAAACAAAAGTGAAAGATATTAAAATTTCAAAAGTAAAACCAACATAGTGAACCAACGAAACTGAAAATATTATTACAACAGAACCTCGAAATGTTAAAGCTCATCGTTAAGAGAATATAAACGCATAACCTAGCAAAAACATACGTATGTGTATTGAAAAAATATAAATTTTCAACAATACTGCAATCAGAAATCTTCAAAAGCTCATATCATCACACAGCAAACACCAATCACGCCCACCACCCTCAACTTCACTCCACACCACAACACACTGTCCAACTAGCATTACTTCAAAACTTTTCTCCTACAACTGCCACCACTTCTTCTTCTTCTTCTTCGTCCCGCTGTTTAAATAAAAAGCCATCAAAATTAAGTTCTCAAAGCAGAATCATCGCGCATACCGTCACACCGAGAACATCTACGACGGTGGCACCGATACTGACGACGACGAATGCCCGTTGGAGTCCACCACGATGAATCCGTATGAGTACGAAACGACACTGGACTGTCGGGATGTGGATGCACGCGGCAACGGCGGCGGCGGCGGCGGCGGTGGTGGTGGCGGCGGGACTGGTGCTGTTGCTGGTGGTGGCGGTATGATGAGCTTGCGTCACAATCCATCCTCGACACATTCACATCAAAATACGCTGCAACATCAGAATCAACAAAATTTACAATTGCAACAACAACATCTACAGCAATCACCATACGATTATGAATACCAGCACTTGCCACATCGCGCTGGTGAATTGGCCGCAGCGGCAGCGGCTGCAGCAGCAGCAGCAGCTAACAACAGCAGCAGTAATGCAATGTCAACGGCACAGCGTAATACACACGGCAGACCAGGCAAGTAGCTTAACAAAAATAAAGAATGACTACTATTAAAACATATATATGTACATACATACAGTGGCTCACACAAGTGTTCAAGCGTTGATTTTTTTTTATTCACAACGTTTTTCAAGTTAAATTTGTTTGTTATTTTTCTATAAAAAAAAAAAATGTTGTCCAAGTTTTAGCCAAAATTATATTAATCAGAGTTTCAAACTTTTTACAAAATTTAGCAAAAGTCGTCAAATGAAAAAAAAAATCGAACATTTTAATCTTAATTTTTACACAATTTTTTTGTATGCAGTTTTATAGCCCAAAGAATTTTAGTCACGTTGATTTATAATATATATATATATATATATTTAATTTTTTGATGATATGGAAAAAGAGTGCTTATATGGAAAAGGAGTACAAAAATTAGACAGCATAAAAAAAGATTTAAAATTAAAGGGAATTTTTAGAACGCTTGACACTTGCATCTCATGACACTAAAATTGTACGTGCTATAAAACTGCATACACAAATTTTTTTTAAAGATTCTGATTAAAAAACTCAAAACTGTTAAGAAAATTTTACGAATTTTCCGAAATTTTGTATAAATTTGAAACTCTGATTTATATAGTTTTCGCTAAAGCTTGGAAAATATTTTTGTAGAAAAATAACAAAAAAATTTTACTTGGAAAACGTTGCGAATTATTAATTATTTTACTAAAAAGTTATACATATATATTAAAAAGAAGATACAGCTGTATATGTATACACCTTTACTAGTGAAATAATTTTTTATAGATCGGAATAGTCTATCAAAATTGAATTAAAAAAATAATAATAATAATAAAAGTGATTTTGTGCCAAGTTGGAAAATTTGCCACTTTTTGAGTTTTCTGGCATGTGCAGCTAAACTGTATGGCATTTCACTTTTTTATTGCAACACCATTTTTTTGTTTTGTAATAAATTTTGCGGCTGTGGCATTTCTGTCATTGATTTCATGTCTTACATGGCATTTGTTTTTTGCCTTCAATGTTCATAGTCGTAGAAAGCCGGCTCTCTTTTATTGGTCAGCAAAAATTTAATTAAAGTATTGTAACACATACGCGCCGTTGCACATTCATACAGTGCGACATTCATTATGCAGTTTTTGGTATTTGTGTCAGTGAAAGCGTTGGCTAATTGTCGGGAGTTTAAAAGATTCATATTCCGTAGCATAAGTAGCGTAAAGTACATAGTATGTATGAGTTCTAGAGCTTTAATACACTTTATGGGATTATTATTTTTGAACAAATTTTAATGCCTTGAATTAAGCTTTGCTGTATTAACGCTTTTGCGATGAGCTCTCTGTCGAATCTACAAGAAAATCGACCTTCTTAGCATCAGCATTGGTGTGACTTTAGACCTGGAAAATCCACCATGGACCAGGTATACACCATACGCCAAATATCGAGAAAAAACTCTCCAGAATAGCGCCGACACCCACCACATATTTTTCGATTTCAAAGCCGCTTTCAACAGCACGAAAAGTGTGCCGAGATGTCCTTCTGAATTGGGAAGGACTCCTGCAGCAAGAAGACGGCTAATTTTCCGAAAAGCACCCGTACGTCACCTGAAGTCGTGTCTTTAACTGGACTAAGCCAGAATAGTGGCTTAGTAGGCGCCAATCAAGTGGAAGAAGAACTTAAGTCTTTACCCAGTACAGTGAAAAATGTGCGGCTTCAGGACCAATTTTTTCTTACAGCTGATTTGCATGCATATAGGTCCGATATTGCTGTCCAAGTACGCTCCCCAGCATTAACGACAAGATTTCCGCTCTGTAATTATAGTGCCAGTACCCAAGATGCGACGAACGCATTCTATTAGTTAGAGAGAATAGAAAGTACATCTGCGTTTGAGAATTGAATTTCTTGGCATACCAGTGGCAAATAAAAATGTGCGATTCTTTTTCTTTAAAAAAATGGAAAAAAACTTTTTTATACATACATTTTGCAAGATGTGCGTTTCGCTAAGAGCATATAAAATTGTATGGAAAATTAAATAAATAATATCTCTACATGCTAGATACTTAATTTGTTTCTTACTCGAATTATTTATAAGTTTGCTAATAAATAGCTTTCATATTCGTCTACTTCTTTACCGAAAAATCTACTTTTAAAATTCCTTATATTATCGATTAAAACTAAAAAAGACTATTCAACAAAACTTTGCGTTTGGTATTTAATATGCTTCACTGCTTCAATTGTATTCGATACCATCTTTCGCTAGTGGCATTTCTGCTCTTGCTTCTAACTACATACGTCGTTTACCTTACTTTTCATTCTCTCTTGGCTGCAAATTTTATAACTCATATTTATTGCTTTCTTTACTTTTATTCCTCTAATATCCATTTTTCATTTTTTTTTGCTTTGTTTCCTATTTCTGTACCTCTATACTACTCATTTTTGGGCCCTTTTTCCATTGTCTCGCACTAACAGGCACACGTAATATTGCGTCTAATCAAAACACGTCCCGACACAAAAAACAGGTAGACGACAGACGATGCCTGATTTCAAACAGAATCCCGCTCAGTTACTTTATTCACAGCCAGACTATAGTAACACGAACACAAGCACAGCACACTTAAACATGTATGTACGTTGGTATTTATGCCTGGGTATATTTGGGTGCTACAGTCTTCGAGAGTATGACTTTAATCAACAGAGAGGTGCTGTTGATACCAGCACCAATAACATAAACATTGGCTTTAAACAGCGCTGCTGCTGGTGTTGACCTCTTCACTTATAATTGGCCTGTTGTGCCGGACACATGCAGGCAGACAGACACAAATAAAAGCAACAGCATGCAACATAGTGTTGCAACATACATATATGTAGGTACTGTGGTTGAGTATCTCCAATCATAGTAGTGTCTCGAAGTACTTAAACTACAAGTATGTATGTATGTATGTATGGCCAGTTTGTTAATTGTGTCCTCTTGTCAACCTGTCGCTCTCTGTTTCCACTGCTTGTGCTTGTCGGACCTTTCCCGCATTGTTGTCCATTTTTGCGCAGTCTTCAAAATCTTGGAGTGGCCGTTTTGTTCACGCTTTTGTTTTCCTTCTTTTTGGGTTTTGGTTTTTGCTCAGGTGGCCTTTTTGTGTTCGTCAGTATTCTTTTGTGTGTAGGGACCAGCGTAGCACCCACAAATCAAAATTAATAATAATAACATGTAATTATATGGTGCATTATGCTCGGAAAGGACCGTAGGATGTTGGTATATGAGGTACATGGCATAAAATGAGCTGTGAGCAGGCGTAAATGAATGGGAAATTATGAAAAATGTGAAAAATACATACATACTTGAAATCAGAGACATTACTATTATAAGAGAAAAGAATAAAAGTCGATCAATGATCATTATATTAAGATAAATATTTTTCGAATCATCTATAATTATTATTCAAGGACTTATATTATAAAAGTCCTTTCATAATAATTATCAGAGAGGGAAATATTTTTAAGTCCTCAAAGACTTTTATATTAAGACTTACATATATTATAAATTTTTTTCATATTAATTATCGTTGAGATAAATATGTTTAAGTCTTGAAAGACTTTTATTATAAATATATATATATTATAAAAGTCTTTTCATAATAATTATGAGCGAGAAAAAAGTTTTTAAGCCTTAAAAGACGGGAATTGTTCAGGGGCATTTCAGCATTAGTTGGGCACCAGTTCGGGGCTAGATGAGGCCCAGTTGGGGACTAGTTGGGGAGAAGTTTACGACCAGTTGGCGCTTGGTTTGGGACCCATTCGGGACTATATACAAACAATTTTTTCGCACTCATAAATATTATCAAAAGACTTTTATAAAATAAGTCTCAAAATAAAAGTCTTTGACGACTTAAAAATATTTATCTCAATAATAATTTGTATGACAAGACTTTTATTAATATAAGTCTCAAAATAAAAATCTTTCAAGACTTTAAAACCTTTATCTCGCTGATAATTATTATGAAAAGACTTCTATTATATAAGTCTTAAAATAATAGTTATCGATGACTTAAAAAAATTTTCTCACACATAATTATTATCGAAAGACTTTTATAATTCCTACCGAAAACTTGATGCCTTTTTCTTAAATTCCACCATAAAATAATTATTATTCTGGGTCTCTGCCTGAAATAAGTGATTTTTATAGGAAAATCAAGTTGAAAAAATTTATTTTTTCTTCCAAATAACTTTCAAATCAAATATTTATGTTAAAAACACTTAATTTCTCAAACAAAAAATTAAAAAAAATATCTTAAAAAAAATATATTTTTGTTTTAAGCTTTCAAAACTCTATTTTTTTATTAGTTTTACATGTTTAAAGAAATTGGCTTCGGAAAATTTGTTTTAATAGCAATTGTTTTGGAGTACCACAAATATAATAAATTATTATGTAGTCAGTATTTTATTATCTATTGAATAGTATTTTTTACCTTTTAAAGAGCAGAAAATATTTTTCCAATTTTTTTATGGCATTTTTAAATACATATTTATTTATGTCCTAATATGCTTACTTATTAACATTTAATTGGTAGTGCTCAAAAAAATAAAGTTGTTATTTTCCATAACTGCTCTCTCTATTATTGCATTCGCTAGTCGTGTTAATTTTTAACTAAAACACAGTAAAAGTATTAAAATGCCAAATGTTTTATCAACAACCAAAAGTTTTCGCAAATTTATTCTATTTACACAGCTCTACATACTGTCATTGCAACATTTGGGTAAATATTTATGCGACGACTAATGAATAAAATATTTTTACTCTACTCGTAATTGAACTGAAAATGTTTTGGCATTGATTTGTTGAAGACACTTTGGAAATTTTACACTGCAAATAAGCAGAAATATCGCTACATACACATTGTATATTTGCATATTTATATACGTACATACATATATATATATATATATACATATATTTGTATGCAAATATTTGCTAGCGAAGGTGATACAAAAAAAAAAAATAGGAAAAAACTCATAAATCACGATCGAGTCGAAT